GTTCTATTCAGCTACGATGCTCATGAAATTAACAATGAGCAGCCCTGAAAGATACTCCTAAGGGCACAATAATGGAAGACATCTTTGCAGTAGCAGACAGCTCTCTAATTGTACTTAAGGCCCATTCCACAGGAGGAAAAACACCAGACTTGGAAGGATGAGGGCTATGGCTTATGGGACTGGGTTTTCAGCCCTTTAAGCAGAGAGATAGCCATGATTGAAATACCCAGACAACTGTATAAGAATATCTAATAAGTTCCCTTTGTAAGACAGAATTAGTCCATCAATTCTGTCCTCTAGAAAATGTTGACTAATAAACCATCTCAGGTCTTTAGATTTCTTTTTCAAAGTAGTAAAATCAAGAGTACAGCAACAGATGAAAATCTCCATATATGACAACATTATAGGTTATATTCCAAAATATTACAGGCTGTAAAATGTGACTATATGGTTAGTCAATTCATGTTCATAGTGGCCAAAGGTGGCTATGTACATCCACAAACATATGTGCTCTGCTGCTTTCACATGACCGCACAATAGCTCAGAAGTAGAATTCACTGCAAGAGCTCTGGCTTAGCATGTGCAAAACCAGAGTTAGATTCTCAGAAAGGAAATTAAAAAAAAAAAAACAAAGAAAACATAAAACATCAAAGAGGAAGAGGATGAAAAGGAGAAGAAAATAATCACAGTAAATGAAACTTCTTTCTACATCTGTTGGATTGAATATTGTTTTTTGTACATCCCAAGTGTGATTCTACTAAACTTTTTCAGCCATGCATTGAGTCTTGGCAGCCACACCCAGAACTGATGATGAGTATTGTGTTGACGTGGAGAATTAGAGAGCAGTCTGCTCTGGGGGAAAACTAACCAAGTTGTAAAATTGGCTGGATACACGGAGTGCACCCGAATGGTTAATAGAAGGAAGGGGGTACCTGAAATCGAAGAGCCCCCTTTCACTTTCAGGCCTCACTATTACTTTCACCTCCAGTTAAGCAAGTATGACACCCTGAGTTGAAAATGACCCTCATGGGGTTGGGGATTTAGCTCAGTGGTTGTGTGCTTGCCTAGCAAGCAAAAGGCCCTGAGTTCAGTCCTCTGAACGAGAAACAAACAAACAAACATAATCAGGTCTCAAAAGCATTAGTGATGATGCTGAGAATCCTAAACCTGCATTACTCCCAGGGATCCCCAGATGACAGAAAGAAAGGACTAAATATTAGGATACATTCACACTGGAGCAAAGACAGAATTCTGGAGAAAGTATCCAGCATACTCACACTTAAGGAAACCTTTGCAACAGAAGGTCTCAAGATCTCAGTGGAAGACAGATTTTTGTTCTTCGATCCCTCTGGGCTGGCTATGCTGCAGATTTTCTCAGTCTGCTGGAATTTACTGCTCTTTTTACCCACACTCACTGTAAATGTTATGAGGCATCTAAAAATGTGCCTGCCTTTCTCTTGTTTTAGCCACCCCTAAAGTATGTTTCTTTATAATCTGACGATGTACTTTCAGAGTTGTGTGTCTGGCTTCCACTCTGATGACTACATTTTTGTTCTTGTGTTTGTATGGCTTTTTTTTTAAATTGCTAATTGTGGCAAATTGTTTTTCACTTGATTTGACAACTCTGTCACAGGTGGAGATCTTAGAATTATGGATTATGCATAGAAAAAAGAGCTTGTTTGAACTGGACAGACTTAATTTTCTGAAAAATCATGAATAAATCAGAATTTCAATGCCATGTACAATTTTGAAGGAATTTTGATTTGATTTTATTAATATAGGAAATTTGGATTTCAGAAACAAACAGCAATGAATGCTGTCAAGGATGCAAGGAGAAAGTCTTACACATGTTGGTGGGAATATATAGTGCAGTCGGTATGGAAGTCAGATGGAGGATCCACAAAACCTAAAATAGAACTATCATATAATCCTGTTACACAACTTATTGCTATGCATCTGGAAGGACCTAAGTCAAAATGCAACAGAAACACCTACACATCACATTTATTGAAACATTTTCCATGACAAATAATATATAAGTTGACTTATATACCTTTAATCAGAATAATTATTAAAGAAAAGGTATATAAATTTTATAATTTATATTTGCATTGTTTTATATTATACTTTCCATACATGTAATATATAAGCATGTACATAAATAAGGTAGAAAACTATATGGGCATGGAGATTATCATATTAAGTAAAATAAGCAAGAATCAAAGACAAATTTCATGAGTTCTTTTTTATTCACATTGTATATTTAAATGCCCATGTATATATGTACATGAGAGGAAGAGAGAAAGCAGATTGTGCAAAGGAAGAATCTAAAGAAAGAGATATAAGAAAGAAGAAAAGGTAAGCAAATCAAATGTGCTTTCTACAATATGAAAAAATATTAAATTAAAGCAAAGAATTGTGTTGGTATTAGAAGCAGACCATACTGGTACAAAGGACGATCATCAAGTGGTAAGCAAAATAAATGATTTGTCCATGTGAAAATGCCACTATGAATTTGTCACCGTGTTCTACAAGATTATAATAAGAAGTCATTGACTGTGTATTATATTCATCACAGGAGCTTAAGAAGTCCTTGGCAGCTTAGAGTCAGAGGATGGATGTAGAACTTCAAAGGACTCATGCCAGAAAGCTGTTTGGGAAAGTGAAGAACTACCAGAAAGATTAGTAAGACAACAATCACAAATAATGTTTTTAGCTCCAAATATTCACCTCATAACCGATAATTTTTTGGCCTAGAAAAGCATTTCAGCATCATTTATCCAATTTGTCACCATAATGTCATCTTATCTAGAGTTCTGGGGAGATACTAATGGAACTAGTTTATCAGTAAACAAGATTTTGAGCATCATTGTTCTAGACTGGTCACAGAATTAAAAAATAACACTGTAGTTTAGATGAAATTTATATTTCTAATATGTATGTGATGCTTGGATTTAGTTATAAATTTGGAACATTATAGGATTAACCTGAGAAAGGAGTCTCAGTGGGGAACTGTTCAGATTGATTGGTCTGTGAGATGCCTGTGAGAGATTTTATTTTTTTTCTTTCTATTTTGAGACAGGGTTTCTCTGTGTAGCTTTGGAGCCTGTTCTGGAACTCACTCTGTAGACCAGGCTGGCCCCAAATTCAGAGATCCACCTGTCTCTGCTTCCCAAGTGTGGGTAAAAAGGCGTGCACCAGCACTGCCTGGCGAGAGATTTTCTTAACTGGGTCATTTGCTATGGGAAGCCCTACACTGAATGAGGAAAGCATCATTTCATATGCTGGGTTATGACCCTAGCAAAAAGAACAAAACACACAGGTATTAGTTCATTGCTCTCTTCTTTTGACTGTGGATGCAACTCCAGAAACTGCTTCAAATCCCTGCCACTGTAACTGCTTTTGCAATGATCAACTGCAGCCTGGGTTGTAAGTCAGATAGATCCTTCTCCCTCAAATTGCATTTGTAAGGGTATTCTTTTTCTCACGGCAACAGGAAAAAAAATGAAACTATATTCACATAAATCTAAAGTTAGTATTTTAATGTCAATGACCAGAGCAGTTTTTAAAAATATGCTCTAAGATGAGAATGTCTGAAGATCAAATATGTGGCATCATCCTTGGAGGGAAATGGCTGGCATTCATAGTAACATATACACTCTACAAGGTGCAACATAGGGATAAACATCACATCATAAGGCAGGAGAAGAACAGTGATGAAGTTATCTATATGTAAGGAGGAACAGCATGGTCATGTGACTACTGAGTAAGGAACACCGTGCTGCAGACACGGAAGTTGTGACCTATGCCAGTAAGTTGTAGAACGTGAGGAAACATGTCCCATGGTAGGAATATTAACACCCAAATGATACAAGACACTTGTTCTAGAGCCCCTATATCTAGTGATGATCTCTTTTGTGATTTTTCTTAACAATATCCATCCTTATCATCAGTTAACTTTAAATACGCGGTTTTCATAGGGATTTATTTATTTATGCTTATCATGCTTCTCTAAGCCTAGGCTGGCTGAGAGAACCTTGCAAATCATAGACTAACTGGGCTGATTGGATGAGCTGTACTCCTACCTTCAAAACCACCATTATGTAGGGTTTTCTGAATCTTTTGTTTTTGGATCTGATGAGCCAGACCAACCCATTCCTTTTAAAGACTGAACAAAGAGCAGAACAACCACTCAAAATAGATGTGAGGACAGAGACAGTATGCTTCATATGATGATGTCTTGTATGTGGCTAAAGTAGTAAACCTAGATATTCATTCTGCAATTAAAACTCTCACCAAGGAATTTTGTATGGTTTTGTTCATTTTTCATTGTCTCTCATATAAACTTTGAAATCACACAGTGATATTTTCTCATATCTACAAAGAATATGAGTTTTAAAGACTATATTAAAGCTGGCAACTATAGATTGTTTTCTAGAACACTTTAAAACTCTATGTGAAATTAAAAACTAGTAAATGGCAACAACCATAACAAAGTTATTTATACTTAGATGAAAAATAGTCCAAGACTGTGGGAAAAGGGGGCAAAACACAGATGTTTTCAATAATCTTATATTAATTTATAGTCTTAAAGGGCACATTGAAATCTTGCCTTCCATATGTAAGTGCACGTTCTTTTACCATTTATGACTTTTAATGTGGGTTCAAAATCAAAACGTCTTGTACAGATTTATGAGTCATTGTATTTCAGAAGAAAACCCAAGGAGTCAGGAGCAAGCCCTGTGTTCAAAGGCCACGATGCTGATAACATGTTAGGTATGTCATGTCAGGTGAATAAAAGACACTGCACAGAAATTAAACTATGACCACACACACACACACACACACACACACACACACACACAAAATCTTCTCTCCCATGAGGCTTTATTCACAAGTAAAAAGAAAGCCACTTGAAAGGTGTGAAGAAAACTTTTAATAATAATCTTTAAGTCTTCTGTCATCCTTTGAAAAGAAAAGTGGAGAAAATGCATGGGCAGTCAGCATCAGGAGGTATTGCCTTGTTGCGTAGATGACCAAAGAGAAAGGTTTTCCCCAGTCAGTTTTAGCCTCCTGCAGTAGTCAAACAGCTCATTTCTCTACCCATTGAGTAGGACAGATCCTGCTTACACCCATCCACTAGTTCTGTTCCTTGAGCTTGGCATTTGGAACTCCTCAACTTCATTGCCTATGGAAGACACCATTTAATTAATTCCTCAGCCAAAGTGAGTCCTAGTCCACCCACTCTGGCCAGTCTATGGGTTCTCCTGTGTATTCCAAGGAAGTATATACAGGCACACTTTTCATATTTGGTAGTAAGGTGTCTGAGTTCAGAGTCAGTTTACTACATTAAGAATTTTTTTCACTTTTAGCCATTTTTACTATAATGATCACTCATTTTCCCCATAAAATGCTGACATCCATAAAATACAACCTTTCACAGTTGCAGTACCCTAAATACATTTCTGAATACCATAGCCTACTAAAGGTTTAATCCAGGCTCAAGGTTTTCTAAATCCAATGAATACACAACTCACAGGACTCTGAAAAAAAAATCTAGTGTGCTTACTTTAAAGAGCATAAGACTGTATCCCATGTTCTATATAACAGGCAAACTCATTAACTTAAAAGCATAAAATATAACATTCAGTTCTATTGGTTAGGGGCAGGAACAATTCCTTTTTTTTTTTTAAACCTATCAATTTAAAGACAACTTGTGAGCCAGTGACAAGTGAAATGGTTTGGAAATGCTTGTATACCTCTGCTGTAACGCTGCCATTTTCCATGTTGTACTGGCTAATTCACCCTGCCTTGTGGTGTCTAAGTTTTCCTCTTCTGAATAGTAATAATAAATGTACGTGCTTAAACCAAACTAATATTTGTGAAGTTTTATAAAAGTTCCATATAATTTTAAGCTAAGGCTTTGCTTCTCAGGCTTGGAAGTTATAACCTAAATAGAAAATTCAAAACAAAAAACTAACCTTTCAGAAAAGGATATCCCTGCGGTACTAAATTTCAAAGATGATTTAGATGGAATACGTGGGGCTTCGTTTATCCATCTAGAAAAACAAAACAAAACAAAACAAAACAAAGAAAACAGTTGGGACACATGATAGAGATAAACAAGCCAGGAAGGCTGAGTTGAAACTATGTAATAAACCTCCCTAATCCTTATCCGTTTTAGTTACAGATAACATACTCAGCAACAGTTTATTTCCTATATAACTACCAAATAAGGGATTTACTTAAGTAGAAAGCTGAATATAACATTAAGGCATATATACATATATATCATACCAATGTAGAGAAGGATGTTCCAAAATCAATATGTATTTGATAACGTGATAATAACATTATGGATATCCAAATCATACTGTGTAACTCTCATGTGATCAAATAGAAATTGTTTGTCGCCATAGTTAGTAATTCTTATCTTCTAACACCAGAAGGTTCTTGCCAGAAGGTACGTGCTATAAGACATTGTCTTATTTAAAATATAAAAGAAGCTAAGTATTTATAAAAATGCAAGGGTGTTGGGAGAAACTGAGATATAAAAGACACATTAACTCAAAATTAGAAATGGAAATTTTGAAATATTTTTCAGTTTTTAATTTCTATTTATTTTTATTCTGAAACTTTAAAAAATTACAACAAATCTTAGTTATATACTTTCAAGTGGAATGTTATGGTAATAAGTCAGCCAAAATTTAACTCATAATGTATATATATATGTGTGTGTGTGTATTATAATGTTGCATTATTGTTATTGTGGAATACAATATTCTTAACTTGCAATATTGGTACATTTTAATATCTAATAAGGTCTTCTAGGCATTTAGGTCAAAAAAAGAGTGTGTTAAACTGGTCCTACTTTAAAAATACTTCTTATCGAGGACTACATGTACATACACAGACCCGCTTTGCTTTTGTTTACAGGAACATATCACAGACAGTTACCTTTTTTTTTCAAGGCTCTTTAGCAAATCTTTTTAAACCTTTGTGGTTTTCTTTCATAGTTCACTTTACTACCTCCATTACTAGAACAAACCCACACTGGCTGTCTCGTCATCTTGAGAGACTGCTGGTAGCTAACCAGTGGTTGCCTAGCACCGCATATTTACATATTCTTTCTCCTTAGCCCTCTGTAATTCCTTTTGTATTAAGCACAGTGCATCTCCTCCTAGTGGTAGCACAAGGGAAACCATAAGCTCACTGTATTACACAACAGAATGTCATGTCAATTGCCTTATTAACCATATGAAAAAATATATCACAACGGTGAAAAACCTTCTCAGTTATCTATATCCTTCCCCTTAGGCTATTGTCATGAGCCACTGGCATACTAAGGGGAGTGTACTAATTCATTTGTCAGCTGCTTCGCCTATTAAAAAGGGGGAAAATACCAGCGAAAAATATGAAACCCATAATAAAAGTGCTGGAGAGGTCTGGAGAGCTCTGTCCACTTGTAGTCCCGAATTAAACATTCTCTGAAAAACATCCTATTTGAACTGTCAGGGAGAAGGCTGCTGTCACATACCTGCCATGGTAATGAGACATTAGTGTTGTCGAGGCACCTTCTGGAGCAACAGACGACCAGGGGCTCATGCTTGAAGTTTTGAGGTGGAAAGAAAGTATCGATCGCCTCCTGTTCTTTTAGCAGACAAATTTGTGGGAAAATGGTAAAAGTCAAGTACTAGAAGTCAGACCAGAATGTAAGGAAAAACAATTAAACAGAGAGAGAGAGAGAGAGAGAGAGAGAGAGAGAGAGAGAGAGAGAGATTGATTTATGAACCTAAATGCTAGTATGAAATATAAAAAAATTCAATGTTGCTAGATTTGACCAGGAAAAAAAAAATAAAAATATGCTGATTCTAGAAGCCTCTTAAAATTCCAGTCTAGGAAAATAATGATTTTATTTAATATATAAATGTTCCATTTTTAAGTTACTAAATATGGAAATATGCATCGTAACTGATATATAAAGCATATGTAAAATATGCTTAATCATAAACTGCTAAGGTAACTCCCTATGTATGTGAAAAATTACTTTTAAACATTTTGTGCTTTGTTCCTTGTGTGTGATTGTTTGAGACAGAGTTTCACCATGTCATTCTGATTGTGATTTTGGCTGGCCTCAAACTCACGCAGATCAACCTGCCTCTGCCCCGAGTGCTGTGTGATTAAAGGATATACCAACATTCCTGCTTGCCGTATGGGCTTTGCACTAAAACATTTTATTTTGGTAGCACACAAGAATACCAAAGTGATAATATGCTGTTCATGTACTACATATGCCAGACACTCCACAGAGTGCTTTATTGTTGTTTTCATCTTCTTTAACCTTCCCAATGATTTTGTGTGTGTGGGGGGGGAGATGTGGGTGTGGGTGTGGGTGTGTGGTACATGCTGCTCTTGTGTGTGTTAAGGACGGGTTTCATGGGAACAAAAACTCTTTAAGCTTCAAGCCATCTCCTGCCGATAACTCAAACTGAGAAGAAAAGATAATTAGCCAGCTTGGAAGAACAATGGCAGATTTAATAATCTGCAGAAGATGAGGAAACATTTTGTTCTTTAAATGGCTTTGAATGCTGGTTCAGGTGGAAATAATATACACTGATTTTGGCTGCATTCACCTTGTGGTAATTTCTGAGGAGACTGGTTACAGAATCTACCCTTGGAGAATTCACCTAACTTGAATGTGTCTCTTGCGTTGTTGTCAAAGTTAGGACCAAAATTCCCCTACCCATACTTTAGGACCAAAGAAACACAAATAAGAAAAGGAAATCACTGGTTTTCCAGTGCACAGTGCACACCACAGACTAGGACTGATTTTACATACATGGGATCTGGAACTCCCATTAAAGAAATACTTCAAAGTACATGTAAAATAAATACAGGAAAAGCAATTTCCCATTACACAAAGTTCTTAAAGTATTGACCAGGCCCGTTCTCTCAACCTCGATGATAGAATTAGGGAAAGAACGTGTAATATTCTCTCTTGCAATTAGAGGTATTTATTTGGAGGTTTATCTGCCTAAGGGAAGCAAAGATAATAGCATTTCCTTTGCTTGTTTCAATTGACTGACTCGTCCTTGTGAAGATATGCAAACACTTTTAACAACTTGGAACGTGTCCAGGTAAAAGTGCAGTGCTTGGGAGAGAGAAAGCAGAGGTTCATTTCCTAGGACCTATTACTTGCACATGTCCTCTCCTTCAAGGGGAGGAAATCTGATCTTATAAATGTGGCCTAAGCATCTGTGTTGCTGTGGCTTACTTTGAGGTCGACCATGAGGTGGAGTAACGTGAAAGATGCTGGTCAAGTCATTAACACAACTGTCTCCAGTTTCTTCTAGAAATGAGATGGAAACCACAGAGACGCTGATGTTGTATAGAAACAATTAAATATTACCAGAGGACACTGTTTTGATGAAAATCTTGTCTGCTCATGTACAAATGCCACTAGTAGCTTCATTAATATATCTATTTAATAAAATACAGAACATACTTGAGAATATACTTCCATACAGGTTGATTTTAAACATTGATTCTCAAATCAAAAGGCAACCCAGGCAACTTCAAAAGGGAAAGCTACAAAACGTAAATTAACTTTATATACCTATATAACTTCTGTTTAATAAACAGATTTAAACTGATTTTAGGATTTGAGATTATAAAAAAAAATCAGAATATACCATTTGATGTTTTCTCTGTTCCTTATGTATATTTATGACAGATGGACAGATAGTAATGAAAAGTCACTAGTTTTTTTTTTAGTATTTCAATAATGCTGGCCCATTTCCCAAATTCCTTTTGTAAACTACACCCACTAAACCTGTTCTGTCCTTTCCTTTACTCCACCAACACTTAGTGCTTTCACAGAGGTTCTTGTGAACTGAGAGTTGATCATGATAATCTATTCTAAACACCTCTGTCTTTTCACTGATCGTTGAGGGCACAGAACAAAGCATTAGTCTGACTTGAAAGCATGAAGAACTATCACTGGGAAGGTTCTAGGTCTAAACCTAAAGAAAAGAGGTGTAGAAGCTCTAGACAATGTCGGAATGAGGTCTTCTGCACAGGGTTACTTAGAGGGAGTCATGCCTCTTCTTCCTTCCAGAACGCACGCAGATTCCCTAAAACTTTTTTAACTTTCTGTCTGCTGAATATTCCAGAAGTTTCTAATGGTGTTAAGATCCACCAGACTTGATTTCTTTAAGCCACCCATCTATTTCCTCCTTCTGAGAAGAAAGCCCCAGGAAGTCATTTTCACTCTTAAATTTTTCTCAAAACAAAGAATTAGCTTGCTGTTATGAATAAAATCGTTAAGTGTTCCACTTTCCTCCGTGCAGTACACAACCTAAGGACAGAACAAATTCTTACCCTCAAGGATGCTCCCATCGCTTTCAGAGCACCGAGTGGGCATTAGCATTTTAACAGCTTCATAATTCTGCCATGCTGTTAGAGAAGCCTTATTTAATTGGACTCAACTGCCTCATTTTATTCCAGTGAAGACTCATTGGCAACGTGGATTAGCATTTGTCAGTGGGAAGTGGCTATTAACCTTGATATATGTGAATCCTCCCACACTGAGTGCCCATGTTCCACACAGAACACAGTTCCAAGGTAGAACATGAGGGGAATCAAGAGTGGGAGGCTGCAGCCGTGCTCCATTTAGTCGTGCTGATATATCTGAAAGTAGAGTAGAGAAGTGCTTCCAGGGCACAGGTGCAAGATAAAATTTCTATGACCAGTGACAAGTCATTATTATTTTGCTACAATATCAGAAGAAAACAGTATTGCTCCTCAAAGTAAGATGTACCACCATTAAATACTAAGCGGGGAGATAGTGAATCAATTAATTATGGCATTTCTTGCATCATTCAGATTTGACATTAGAAGCATTGACTCCATGGTGTGTTGTTTAAGTAACAGTACTACCACTGCTGCACATAGGTTTTAGAAAGTGCAATATGGTGTGTCCCTTGGGAGAGTTCATTTATTTTCCAAAACTCCCCAAATACTGATCACTCAATATTTCACAATTAGGACTAGTGGCGCAGAGAGACTTAGCTGTGTTAAAGTCAGTATAACTGCCTCCCCTCACCCTTATTTTGCGATCACCATAGGTATCAGTAGCACTAGGAAACATCAGTGCTCAGGTGCAGAACAAAAGTATGCGGAGCTACCATCTGCAGCTGTCATAAATACCGGTCATGTACAGCTCTCACTGCTGCAGCCTCCTCAAACATTTTCATTACACTCACGTATTAGAAAATCAAGATTCCCAGCTCTATATAGCGATAGCGAACAGGAAGGAAACAGAGCGCTCCCTTTGCAGAGAGGCTCTGTCTGACTTGTCCTGCCTCTGTAATTTCTCCCAGATTCATAGAGAAGGCCAGCACAGGCACAGAGCTCATCCATCCAAGAATATGTGTATCAGACAAACCTCCAATCCCCCTTCTGATTCTGTGACACTTTTGGTCTATTGTTTTTCTCTTTCTTTTCCTTAAATTTTTTTTTTAAATTTATACTTTGATGTCTCTAATCCCACTGAGGCATGCAGGTTGCCAAATGTTCATCTGCAATCTGTAGCATTTAAGTTAAAGAAAGGGTTTATAGATTCTAGGATTTTTTTCTGAGCACCCCAAATAAATCCCTTCATGGATGGCTAAACCGTGAGAAGAAGATGAAGTTACATTAATCCAAATCAATGTACCTCAGAAGAGCAAACTGCATTCACTGACAGTCAACAAACAAATAAGAAATTCCTCTTTCTATTTATATAAGACTTCCTTTTAAAAATTAGATTTGGCTTTTGATCCTAATGCTACTGAATCACAAGGTTTTTACTTTTTTTTCTTTTCTCTGATAGAAGATTGGATGACAGTACATTTGTCCTTCACGAAGTGACAACCAGCTTTTAGATTTTGACAGGACTTACTTTCTTGTGAATTCCTTCAGTTCCATGTTTCTGAACTGCCCCATTCTGCTCTGGGTTGCATTAAGAAGGAATACCTATTTTCACAGAAACGAGTCTCCCCTTCTTTAAAGGAAACATCGGATGGAAATGACTGCCTTTTCTCTGTCACATTAGACAGAGAGGTTAAGCTCCCACTGACAGGAAAGATGTATTTGCAAGTGATTAGTTATATTTCTATCATACTGCTGGCCTGTGTTCTTCCTTTGATGTCTAAACAAAGCACTTGAGCACGCTGGGTTGTATGCTCTGATGTTGATTTATAGGTAGAACTGAATTCCAAACATTAAGCCAGTAGGTATGCTTTAATAAAAAGCACAGATTTTTCCCCCTGCTGGTTAGTGTGTGCCTAAGCGATACTGTTTTAGGGCCTCAATCTGTCAAGACAGGTGTACAATGGGGGAGTCCTTCAGGCACAAAGACCCAAGCTATTCGCAGAGGGCCATGCTCTGCTCAACAGGAAAGCTGGGTTTTAAACCCTTTGCAGAAATGCTAACTATGTTAAAAACAAAAACAAAACCTGCTTTCTGTTTAACAGCGATGCTGACACACCGTCATGTAGAAGTAAGACGCTGCTGCTAGGAGGGAGAAGTTAGAAACCTCCTTGCAAGCAAATGACAGTTGAAACTCAGACCAGACAGTGCCATTCCTGATGCAAGCACATCAGAAGGAATGATAGAGCATCTTTCTCAGGCTTAATCGTGTCTTCAGACTGAC